GAATCTCAGAGTTGTTTTGATTTGCATTTCCTTTAAGGCCAGGGATAATGAGCATTTCCTCATATGATTCTTTGCCATTCTTACCTCATCTTTTGAGAAGTCTCTTCTTAGCTCCCTTGCCCATTTAGTGATTGGTTTATTATGTTTTGGAAGGGTTAGTTTCTTGAGCTCGTATATATTGTATATATTGGATATTAGGCCTTTGTCTGATATATTGCTGGTAAATACCTTTTCTCAGTTGGTTGGCTGTCTTTCTAGTTTACTATGTCCTTAGCTGGGAAGAAACTATTTTAATACAGTCCCACTTGCTGAGTCTCTTTCCTATCTGTTGTGCCTCAGGGACTCTATTCAAGAAATTTCTATCTATAACTATAAGATCTAATGTTTCTCCTACTCTCTCTTGAATAGTTGCAAAGTTTGGGGACTGACATTGAAGTCTTTGATCCACTTTGAATTGATATTAGTGCATGGTATCGAACAGGGATCCACTTTTATTTTTCTGCATATGGATGCCCAGTTTTCCCAACACCAATTATTGAAAAGGCTATTTTTTTCCACTCTATATCTTTGGCTCCCTTATCAAATATCAGATAACTATAAGTGTATGGTTTTATTTCTGGGTCTTCTATAGATTATATGACTCATAGAGAGAAAATGTAAAGAATCCACTTAAAAAGTATAACCAAAAAACTAAAGATTCTATAGAGTATAAAATATAAAATCAAAATACAGAAATCAGTAGCTTTTTCACACATCAATAACTTTTCTAAGAAAATATCAAAGCAAAATTATAAAACACACATGAAGGATTGAAGGACGTGCAATAAAAGAAACTATGAAAATCTCCCGTGTTAATAATAATGTTATGTCCATAGTACCCAAAATGATAATATAGATTCAGCACAATCCTTAGTAACAAACCAAATACATCCTTCACCAAACTTGAAAGAATTTGATCCTAAAATCAATTTTCAAGGCCAGAAGTTTCCAAATAGCCAAATCTATCTTGTGCAAAATGAGAAAAGCTGGGGGCATTACAGTTTCTGATTTCAACGCATACTAACTGCATAGTCATAATAACCCATGCAATATGACATGAGCATAAAAATGGATTTATAGGCCAAACGAATAGACCAGAGATCCAAAAGAACCCCATGAATGTGCAACCAACTGGTTCCCAACAAAAAGGGCAACTTCTTCAAAAACTTGCACTGGGAAAATTGGAAATCTACATGAAGAAGACTGAAACTTGACCTCTGTCTCAACTTGTAAATGAATTAAAAGCCTAGAAAAAACACTTTAAATCATTGATAACTTAGCAATGATTTTCTGGATAGAACTCTGAAGCATAGGAAGCAAAAGCAAAATTGTCAAGTGAAATTACATCAAACTAAAATGTTTTGCCCAGCAAAGAGATAGCTGACAGAATGGGAGAAAACATTTGCCAACTTTCCCTTTGACAAATGAATATAAGGGACTCAGCCAAAAACAGTTACCCCAATTTTTTTAAAAAAATTAATTATCTTGAACACTTACAACAATAAGACAAACAAGTGGACAACAAATATATGAAAAAATATTGCATGTCATCACCCATCCAAGAAATGAAAACCAAAATAATAGTGGATCCTATTTCATCCTATGTTATGAAAACAAAAACAAAATAAGTTAAGGAGAATGTAGAGAAAATAAATTATAATATACTGTGGGTAAGGATGCAAATTAGTACAGCCATTTTAGAGAATTTTATGGAGACTCTTCAAAAGACTAAAACTAGATCTGTAATGTAATCTAGTTTTCCCACTTAGGATTATACATCAAAATGAAAGGAAATTAGCATACCAAAGAGTTACCATATGAATGCTCATGTTTATTGCAGCACTACTCCCAGTAGCTAAAATAGGAGTCAGCCCAGGTGTTCATCAACTGAATGGATGGGTAAAGAAAACGTAGTATATATGCACAATGGAGTATTCTTCAGACATAAAGGGGAATTAAGTCCTCTTATTTACAGCAAATAAAATAGATTTGAAAGATATTAAGAAAAGTAAGCCAAGTACACAAAAGACAGGTACTGTATTGTCTCTCTCATATAAGCAACATTTTTTAAAAATGTCAACCTGAAAATGGATTAATTATGACTAAGGGCAGAAGGATATGTGGTGGAAGGGGATGGAAAAGGGGCAGGCTATATGTATGAAAGTAACACACTGAGCCCTGTTTTATGTACAATTAATATATGATAACAAAAAAGAAATGTACTGTCTGAGAAGATACTGAAAAGATGTTCTATTGTCTATGTGGATACTGATTCTAGTCAGTACCCTGGAAAACTATTAATTTGTTTTCTCCTTTGAACATGTATTACTTCCGTTAACTTGAAATGTTCTAGCCAGTGCATAAACAAACAGCACTTCACAGATGGCTCACTTGACATTTATTGCCTAAGTGATAAAGGCTGTTAGTGTGCTTCTCGTGAGTTTAAGAATTCACTGGACTCTGTTCATTTTCACGTGGATCCCATTACTGACTGTTCCTATCAGCATAAAATTTTTTCTCCTCTTATGTAAAGTCCTTGTAGGCACAGGGTAATAAGGTCATTTCTCTCCAAGCGGATGAATATGATATGGCAAATGCATCTATTTTCCATAAATACTATAAAATTGCTCCTTGCTCTGAGCACTTACTGCAGTAGAAGCCAAGTGAAATGAGGTGTGCTACAATATAATCTTTTTTTGTTAACATTAAACCAGATAGTATTTAAGATAATTGTTTTGTGTCTGTCCTCCATTAACTGAAATATTTTTAAGGCAGGATACATAGAAGCAATGGGCAAATGGTATGGAATTGTTCTAAATTCATCTGATCATCATTCTTCCAAGTTTAACATTGGTCAAGGTGGGATGAAAAGGTGTCTTACACATTCCAACTAACAATTAAGTCATGTTGGAGAACTAGGTTTGACTCTGTCTAGTACTGATATTTTTTTTGCAAGTTAGTTAATATTTGTAAGCCTTAGTCTTCTTTTGTACAACACAAATGTTAATACCTATCTCATGGATTTGGGGATGATGGTACTCTTAAAATTTTAGAAATCCATGTAGAGTCTTTTGAGGAACCTCCATACTGCTTTCCAAAGTGGTTGAACAAGTTTACACTCCCACCAACAACGCAGTAAGGTTCCCTTCTGGCCACATCCCCTCCAGCATCTGTTGTTATTAGAGTTCTTGTTTATAGCCATTCTAACTGGGTAAGGTAGAATCTCAATTTTTGGGGGGGGAGGGTCCGGTCGTGGGGCCTGAACTCTGGGCCTGGGCGCTGTCCCTCGGCTCTTCAGCTCAAGGCTAGCGCTCTACCACTTGAGCCACAGCGCCACTTCCGGCTTTCTTCTGTTTTGCTTATGTGGTGCTGAGGAATTGAACCCAGGGCATCAGGCATGCAAGGCAAGCACTCTACCACTGAGCCACCTTCCCAGCCCCAAGTTGAGCATTTCTTCATGGGTCTGTTGGCCATTCTTATTTCCTCTTCAGAGAAGTTTCTCTTTAAGTCTTTAGCCCACTTATTTATTGGACAGTTGTTTCTTTGAGGATTTGTTGTTGAGGGATTTAATTTTTTTAATTCCAAGAATATTTTAGTTATGAGACCCTTATCCTTATCCCTTATCCTTATCCTTTTGGCTAGTGAAGATCTTCTCCCAATCTGTGAGCTTTCTATTGATCTTGCTAGCTACGTCCTTTGCCATGCAGAAGCTCTGAAATTTCATGCAATCCCATTTGTCCAACCTTTCTTTGATTTGTTGTGTTTCCGGGTCTCTATTAAGAAAATTTTGGCTTGTGCCAAGGAGACTTGGGTTTCTCCTATTCCTTCCTGTAATGTTTTCAGGGTGTCTGCTTTGACTCCGAGGTCTTTGATCCATTTGGAGTTGATTCTGATGCAGGGTGATATATAAGGATCTAGCTTTCATTTTCTATAGGTGAATAACTAATTTTGCCAGCACCATTTACTGAAGAGGCTGTCTTTCTTCCCCTATGACCCAGAAATACCACTTTGGGGCATTTACTCAAACGATCACAAACAAGGCCATACTAATGCTACCAGCATAACTGTTTATCCCACCATTATTTACCATAGCTAAGATGTGGAACCAACTCACATGCCCCTCAGTAGATGAATGAATGAATGATCAAGAAAAATGTGGTATATATATATACAATGGAATTCTATCAGAAAGCATGACATTGCTCCATTTATTAGGAAATGGAAAGACTTGGAAAAAATTATATTAAGTAAGCCAGGCCCAAAGAAACATAGGTCCCATGGTTTCCCTTATTTGCAATAACTAGTACATGTGTAGGACAAGCAGAAAAGGCCAAAAGCTATGTACATATGACAAGATAAGATGATGCTAAGCAAAATGAACCCCAAGATGGGGACGTAAATATCTTTTATCTTTCTTGCTATTGTTTCTAATGTATTTATAATGTACCATGTGATTTTTTTGTTGCTTTGTATCTTCCTCCCTCACAGTATAACCCCTATACTGTTATAGGGGTTATATAACAAATACAGTGAAATTTCACTGTATTTGATGTTGGTGCCCTGCATCTTGTATATATACTTCTCTAATTCAGGGAGGGGAAGGGAAAAAAAAACAAAATGATTAAATAAGGATACAGGTTGACCCATTGAAACAATGAGATATACAAAACACTATGTTGAAAATGAACTTTACAACTTCAGTTAGGGGAGGTAGTTGTGGAGATGGGAGGGAAGGGATGGTTGGGAGAAAACAAAGGAGGAGGCAACAATGCTCAATAGGAAATATACTCATTACCTTGCTCATGTAACTGTAACCCCTCTGTACAGTATTTTTACAATAAAAAAGTATAAAAAAAACTTTAAAAATCCAGCAATTCCATACCTTCCTTGAAAACATATGTTTTCATTGCATTATGACATTCTTTCAGAATTAACTACATCTTTTCTTCTCTTTCTACCAGGGCAAACACTGTATACTTGATGTATCAGGAAATGCCATCAAGCGGTTACAAGTTGCCCAGCTCTATCCCATTGCTATTTTCATAAAGCCCAAGTCTCTGGAACCTCTGATGTAAGTACAGACGCTAGAGGCCATCATCCAACCGACTCCCCATTGCACATTCCCCAGAACACTGTTCACAACTCTTAGTCACAAATGCTTGCAAATGCAAAATACCACCCTTGATTTTTATGCATTAAAGAAAAAGATACAATTAAAAATGTGAAGCCACTAGGGTTATACTATCAGTCATTATTTGATATACTTTCACTAAGAGCTTTTGGGGTTTTGTTGTTGTTTCTGAGCAGCGTAGGAAACTTTTATTCTTGATCAAGACTAGGAAAAGTAAGAGATAAACCCAAAAATCAACTTCACAACCTTGAGGGTGGTTCAGATGCCTGTAGATGTGGAGAAGAAATGAAGGGAAGGTGTAGACTAATAAAAGGGACCAATATTAGCATCTTTTCTGAGAATGGGTGGCAATTTTCCTAGAATTCAGGTGGGACCCTCTTTTTGCTCTTCTGTGGTCTTTCCAGGAGGGTAACTGTCACCTGTCATGATGCGGGAGAGTGTTTCATTTCACATGTACATGGAAACATATTAACATTAGATGTCTGCTGTTTACTCTGGCAGCCATCCTGGATCCAACCATCTTAAGCTAACTGGCCTAAAGAGGAAACAATCCTCAGGTGATCAAGATGAGGAAGGGACAGATAATCAGACAGGTCACTATATAGTACACAGGGTAACAAATCATCCTTTTTCTTATTTTCACTTTTCACTTCTTACTTTCATGGGTTCCTGAAGGATGAAAATCTGACATCATCTTCTCAAGCTGAATTTGAGGGCTGTTAATGGGTCTATGAGAGCAGTGAAAAGTTTTGTAGCAAATCTTAAAATGGCTGTGTTTATTGTTTAGCCTCCTGCCTTTTACTTACAAATGAAGGAAGACAGTTGAAGACTCATGCCCCTAAGAATAGCCAGAACCCAATAGCTATTAGTAGGCCTAAATGGGGAAAGAGAAACACCCTAGCTAGATATCTGGGCACATTTATGAGCAAGGGAAAGTGTGTGACTTTCATGATTTTGAAGGATCCAAAATACCTTGCTTCAAAGACTAGTAAACAAGTTGGGCCCATATTCATGACTGGACTATGAAGTTGGTGTAGGCAACTCTCATACAAAAGTGATGCTACAATAGGTAATACAGCAGAGTAGGAAAGATGCAAGTAGGGACTTGAAAGTCAATGAGACTAGTTTGGTGTGTTGCTTTGCCAGTGATCAATTATATAACTCTAGGAAAATTAACTAAAAATTGGTCCTCATCTCTAAACTAGACATTAATAAGTATCTCACAGAGTGAAGGCTGAGCAAGAAAGTCATGATAGAAAGCTCTTCATATAGTCTTTGGCATATAGTAAGTACTCAAAAACTAGTAATTTAGTCTTATCATTATAAAGTATATAAATGGCTTCCAATAGAATACAAGAAAATGGTGCACATGTGACTGATATAAGAACCTCACTCAACTATTGCCTCCATCTGGGCATCAAGAGCATGTGGAGGGGGTTCAGGAATGAATCACAAAGTATACCCCCAGAAAACAGTGTTTATGGAAAGACTTATTAAACAGAAAATATTTAATCTCAGAGATTATCCCAAACTAATGTGCTCTCTGATGATAAAAAATCAAAGCAAACTGATGTAGCTGGAATGGCCAGCTGAGAGAATTCCGTTAAATACATAATTGACCTCTGGAAATTGCCAGAGATTCAACTTGACAGCATAATATATTCACATAAATAAAAGATAGACAAGGCTTTTCACCAAGATAAGGAAATAAAATCGAAAATCAGTGAATACCTTAAGTTCAATGAGTGTAGGTATTAAATTATACTATGAAGAATATCTTTCCATAGTTGCCATGTGGAAAAATGTGTTAGTAGTTGAAAGAAAAAAAAAGAATGGCTACTACTGTTACTAACCCTGATTTCATATGTGAAAATCTCTCCTGATAAAGGATATTGTGTTGGGAATTGCACAAAAGGGAGTTAGGCAACCCCAATTTCCATTCTGTAAAAGTGATTTCTAATCTAAACATAACAAATATTATGTTTAAGAAGAGTAGGGAAATGGCCCTTTCCTCTTGGGAATAGCACCATCAGGGCTGGTTTCAGAAATAGAAGAGTCTTCACATGATGAGCCTACAATGGGATAGATGGCTTCATGGGGAAGTAGGACCCAAGGGAGCAAAAGAAACGGCACGTGTGACCACATGACAGTAGGTGACAGTTCCATCCGGAGCTCAGAGGGAGAAGGTCTCCTTCTTCCCACAACTATCCCATGATTTATTTAGGTTTCCCTTAGGGCACTGTCACAGCAACTTACCACTAAGGGAAATTAAACCTAATGATGGCTGAAACTTAACCCTACCGAACACACTGGGGCCAGCAAAGCTCACGTAATTTGCTGTAGCCATGGTCACAAGTCTCAACTGCAGGGAGAATGACAATCAGACCAATGTGATCACCTTGCTAAATGCTGCATGTTTATGGTTCAGTGTTCTCTGAGGATTTTACATCAGGAGGAAAGCAGGCATGAATTGCCCATTCCCCAGGAAGGAGTGAATACTCGGTCAGCTGGAACAAAGGCATGGCAGCTGTCACATTTCGGCATTGATACATCATCACACACATTATTTCTCAAGTGCATTACCCACACAAACCATAGAGCATATTAAGATTCACGTAACTGACTCTTCAGGAGAGCATTAAATTGAGGGCATGTATGAAAGAGATGTTCTTTAAATATTGTACCACTGCCTGATTTCTACCCCATCCCACAGCATATCTCATTCCTCTGCTACCTTTGATCTCCTCTTGCCATCTTGCTACATAATATCAGGATAACCCTGTAATTATATAATTATGATTATTTAGCTCTCTATTTTTCCTTTATTCAATTATTCAACAGATAATCAAGACAGGCTTCATGCTATATGCTAAGGAACAAGCCAGGGCTTTTTCCCCTCAAGAACAGGTAGATCAGGCAAGGAGACAAGACAAATGCATAATTAGATAACAATGCAAAGTAAGTAACTACCACAATAAAGGCAAAAAGAATTTGGGAGAAAATAAAACCAGATTAAATATGACCATACAAGTCAAAGAAGAACAAGAATGACCAAATTGCTTTCCTTCTCTGGAAAAATCATCCCTTTCTCTGAAGTTACTTCTTAGTTTATATTAGTCTTTTATACCAGAGATACAGAAGATGTCCTGTATCTACTCTGAGTTTCTAAACGTAGGATTTTTGGAGACAGAGCTCAGGAAATCCCTACTTTATAATTCAGTTCTCAGTTATGTCCAAAAGCAAGTTAATGTTTCAGTTTAGGGTTTGTTTCTGTGTATGTGTGCACACACATGCATGTGCACATGCATACCAGTCCTGGGGCTTGAACTCAGGGCCTGGGTGCTGTCCCCTGGCTTTTTCGCTCAAGGCTGGTGCTCTGCACTTGAGCCATACCTCCCTTTATAGATTTTTACTAGCTAATTGAAGATAAGAGTCTCACAGACTTTCCTGCCTGGACTGGCTTCACACTCCAATCTGCAGATCTCAACTTCCTGGGTAGCAAAGATTATAGGTGTAAGCCACAGTGCCTGACTTGTCTGGGGAGAGATAGATAGATAGATAGATAGATAGATAGATAGATAGATAGATAGATAGATAGATAGATAGATAGATAGATAGATAGATAGATAAATAGATAGATTTCCTTTTTGAAAGACTTTATATATGATTACACCCTTGACTATGAAAGAGAGCCTTTTGATAGGGTTTATAAAAATAACTGAGTTCTTACTGCACATTACCCTATTAAATGTATAGCTTAGGGAAGTCCCTTCCCTGCTTCAAGTCTCCATGTATTGTAAAGTAAATGAGTTCCAGCTCTGGATCTCTAACTTCCTAAAGGATGTGCAAGGCAGAGATGCTTTGAGAAATTCTACATGCACCTGTGATGCATCCTGATGAGCCAACTTAAACGTCTCTGCATTCACCTGGGCTTTTTTAATATGTAGAAGGAAGGCATGAAGGGATAAACCTACCATTGGATAGTAATTGAATTCCATTTTTTCCATTACTCCCCTACATTGATTTTTCTAGGCTTGGCTTTAATAATCTTATAATGATTAATCGATATTTATACAGAGTTAAACCACTGGCTGACAAATTGACCAAAAGAAAAAGTAGTCCTGGGTATAATTCCTTTATAGCCCACTCTCATATTAGAACAAAAACAGAATAGGCCTTAGCATTTCTTTTTTTTTAATTGTGAAAATACTGTACAGAGGGGTTACAATTACATGAGCAAGATAATGAGTACATTTCTTATCAAGCATTGTAGCCTCCTCCTTTGTTTCCCCTTCCCATCCCTTCCCATCCTCCTCCCTGCTCCCCCCCCCACACACCAAAGTTATAAGGTTCGTTTTCGACATACTGACTTGTACATACTGACTCCATTGTTGCAATGGGTCCACCTGTATCCCTATTTAAATGATTTGTTTTTCCCCTTCCCCTCCACAAATTATACCGACATCAAATACAGTAAAAGCAGGAGTTATACTGTGGGGGGAGGGACTTACAAAGCAACAAAGAAATAATCTTATAAATGTGTTAGAAATAATCGCATGAAAGAAAAAAAAACATTTGAATACATATCTTAGGGTTCATTTCCCTAACATCACCTTATCTGACTTGTTCTACTTTACTCAGACATATACTAGATATTGCAAATAAGGGAAACCATGGCACCTATGTTTCTTTGGGCCTGGCTTATTGAGGCATTAGCATTTCTTATTATCTTGTTTTTTAAATATAGTCTCATTTATAGCTGGAACATAGAAATTGAATACATATATGATTTCAGTACATTAATATAATTATCAGATCAAAGTTATTGGCATAACTGTCACTTTGCACAAGTTTAATTTTGTTGGGGACATTCAAAATCCTCCTCCTATTTTGAAATATTCAATTTTTATCAACCGTAGTTATTTTATTGTGCTATTTAACATTAGAAGTTATTCCACCTAACCAACTGACTTCGTACCTGTTACCCATATCCATATTAGAGATTCTTAAGTGCACAGCTCTTCTATCTAGGGTTACTTTTTCACCAAATTACTTGATTTTAACCTATTTGAAAATGTTTGTTTCTAACATTTCCTTTTTATTCCATATACTAATTGTACAAAATAAGCGATTTCATTGTAATATACATCTGCTGTATCTTGATCCTTTTTCAGTCCTCCTCCTTCCTCTGTCTTTGATTATTCAAACAGAAGTTCCAGTCTCCTGTTGTTACAGACATGCCTTGGCATTTACAGAAGCCTGCTTTCAAGCGCTGCAGAATACCTTTTTTGGTATATGAGAGACACATATAGCTAGGAAATCTGACCAATTTCATGTAATTCTTTAGAAGCACTTTGTGTTTCTCTACTTGTGTCCATATACACAAGAAGATGCGCAGTAGCTCTTTAGAAGGATGAGGGAAGCAAGAAATCAAAAGGTTTTGTATGGTTGAGACTTAAGAACAGTCTAGTTCTCTCAGACATAAAGACCCAAGCCAAACCTTCCCTCCATTGCTCTTGTTTGCCTCTGAGCACCTGGAAGACTTCCTCTAATTCTAGGTCCAACATTTAGGAGAAGCTAAGATAGTAAAACAAAGTCCAAGAAAGGATGGCCAAGAAAAGTTAGAATTTTGAAATTGTATCGAATGAAAGGCAGATGCAGAAAGTAGGACAGTGTGTTCTGAAGAAGCAAAAGTCCCAGGAGGCACATGAACACTTTATTTAAATGAGCCTGCTCTGGAGCCTTACTCCAGGGACTGCAGGGACAGAACAGGGACTGGTGACTATAAATTACAAGACAGATTCTGCTTTATCCAATGAGGGGCCAAGAGCCTGCCCAATGAGAGAGCAAAGCTCCCTGGCAGAAAGCCTCGGGGCTGAAATTGGTTCCTCAAAGAGGAATGCTGAACAAAGCTACCAGGGAGACTAAGCTTTGCTTCTTGTGGGTTATTTCTTTGCCATGCACTTGAACTTCTCAGGGTTGGGTATATTCCCTTTGTGTTCTAATATGAGGCCCTCATTTTCCTAGGGAAATGAACAAGCGTCTAACAGAAGAACAAGCCAAGAAAACCTATGATCGAGCAATTAAGCTGGAACAAGAATTTGGAGAATATTTTACAGGTAAGTTCCTCTGACCCTGGCATCATGAGGAAGGAGAGATACTATATAATTTAACTTATAGATGGTTCTAGCCCTGGTATAACAGGATCTGAAAATCTTCCTGCTGTGAATCCTCAATACTGCACTTAAAATATTAAGTGACACTTACAATATGAGTGGCAGATGGCCCCTGAGCTATATCCTGCTACTAAGGAGACTTTAGAAAATTGACACCTAAACTGTCTTCCCAATGACACCAGAAAATGTTTGAAAAAGAAACATTTTGTGCTCAAAACAGGCAGTGTTGAAGCAATTACTCTTTAGGCCTTGGTTTTGATGTTTATAATGCTAGGTATCTAATCCAGGACCTGAGTGTGCACTAAGGAAGCACTATCACTGAGCTATCATCCCACCCCAAAAAAGTTCATCTTGAAGAGTAATCTCAGGTCTTCCGTTCTATCTGGATATTCTGTAGTTCTGCCTCCCATTCCAGTAGCTCTTGAACAGTGCACCTGGAAATCTTTCCCATGTTTCCATTAATTCTGTGCCAAGACTCAGTGCAAAACTTAAACAACTCTAAATATGTCTTTGGAAACATGAAATATGGGGAATCAAGAAAGAATTTCTTCTAGGTATCCCAAGTTCTCTGTTCTTATAATGCTTTTATGGAACACTGATTCAATCCAAAGAATTAGAGTTGGAAGAATTTACCTTACAACTAAATTAATGTTTTAATTGTTTTGTCTTATTCAGAAGACAGAACATCAGGCATGGTGGTTCACAAATATTTTTCATAGGTTAATATTAAGTGATGTTTCTATCAATAACTAAAATATGAGTTCAGAAAATAAAATCATTTTGACCAGTAGTTTGTATTCAGAAATATTATAATTAATATACTCTGAAAATATTTTTGAAGATCTAATCTCTGTTTCAATAGCAACTTATTTTGAATTCTTAGTGTCATATGGAGAGTATTGATATATTTTAGGGATTTATCCTACAAGGTAGGTTAGAACAACCTGGCATTTTGACTAATTGACTATTATAGTTTATGGGGTACCCTCTATATAAAATTGCCCTATGTAGGAAGAATCTGAATTTACCAGATTACTAAAGAGAATACACATGGTTTCCCATTAAAAGTGGTGGGATTAAAGTTTTCTCCAAAATCCTTATTATTTCCTGTGTCTAAAATCCCTGAATTTTCATCTCCTCCAAAGTAAGTAAGGTATGGAGACTATAAGGCTCATTTTTTTTCTGAACATTAGTCATTGCTTTACTACAGTGCCTGGCTCTGAGTAGGAACCCATAAAATATTTGCTAAATATATGAACAATTCACAATCAGGACGCCAAACAAATGTAGCAAGTATGAAAATTGTGATATACTTATAACTGATCTAGGTCATGTATTGAAAGAATTTTCATCATTAGTGTGATGTGTTTCTGGGAATATTCTGCTTTTTCTTACTAAAGACATCATAAATTTCCTGATGATGAGCTGTCTGCTACTGATTTGAGCTTCTGTTATATGAGTGGTGATTGTTCCTCACCAACCCCCCGCCCAGCAATGATCCCTAATTCTAGGTATGTTCGCTTCTGTTACAGCTATTGTCCAAGGAGACACCCTAGAAGATATATATAACCAATGCAAGCTTGTTATTGAAGAACAATCTGGGCCTTTCATCTGGATTCCCTCAAAGGAGAAGTTATAAATTAGCTACTACGCCTCTGATAACAACAGAAGAACATTTAGAAGAACAAAATATATATAATATACTACTTGGAGGCTTTTATGTTTTTGTTGCATTTATGTTTTTGCAGTCAATGTGAATTCTTATGAATGTACAACACAAACTGTGCGAAGCCATGAAGGAAACGGAGGGGCCAAAGGGTGGGACAGAAAAGACATTGCAGTATGCAGGAAGGCTTTGGTTTGTTCAAAGTACCAGGTGTAGGGATGAACCTCTGATGGGCTTTCTGCCCAAGAGATGGGAAACCTCCTCACCCCAGCAGATGTCCAGAGCTGATTTAGCTGCTGAGCTCTCTGTGTTTTTTTTGCTTTAAAGAAAAGTTGCCAGCACTCGAACCTCACCAACCTTCCCATTACCCACATCTGTAATGAGTACACTTCGAATTTTATAACTATGCACATCTTTTGAGTTCTTAACAAGCAAAAGAGATAAAGAAGGGGAAAAAAAGCAAGGAGTCCCTTTGGAAATGATGTGCTATCAGGGAAAGCTAATTTGTACAGTTTCTTTGACTGACATCTGCAAAGACGAGCATTGCATAAAATTCCGAAGTGTAACCTCACCGAGAAGAGGGGATTCACCTGGGATTAGCTTTATGATTGTTGATTGTCTATTTTGCCATTTATAAGCTGAAAGACAGCACTAAAGATGAGAATAATTTATACAATAAAAATATATTAAATGTATAGAAACAAATTTCTATAGGTTACAAAAGAAGTTTTGTGAAATATTTTGTAAAGACTAATTGAAAGACTAAATGTATGCACTATCAGAGGATCAAATTCAAGAACTGAAAGTTGCACTCTCCCTTTTGTTGCCAATGATTCATTCAGAGCACCGAGTTCTTTCTGAGTCTGACGAAGACTTCTCCCTCACTTACCTCCCATGGTCTCTCTTGCGCACTAGTGATACACATTTATGGAGCATATCCCTTAATGAGTGGACATTTTTGGAGGACATTTGTTAATACCAAATGTCCAGTTTTTCCAGCTGATGGCTTTTTAGAGACAAACTCATGCAAAGGACCTACAAGGACCTTTTGCTTTTCTTTAGTAAAATAACCCGGGCCTACCATGAAAATAGTGGAATAACTTTGTTCCTAGTCACTTGCATACAATTCTTAAAGGGCCAGTTAGTATTCTGGCCAATCATGAGTCAATGGAATTATTCTTTTATTGTTTCACAGAGTGATTAAGTCTTATAACAGCTGAAGTTCATATTACATGGGGAGATCTGTCCGAAGGATGCACTATTTCTTTGAGGAAGAGAGGAGAAGCATCTGGTTAGGGGCAGGGGGTGATGAGAAGTGCAGGATTATTTGTTTGTTTTGAAACATAGGGCAAAGAGACAGAACCACTGGCAAAGGTGATTTATGACTTTGAACTCAACCAATTGAATTGCCTTCCTTGGGGCTGTACCTGGACCAAGTTCATTTTTTACCAATTATAGTAATGATGATTTTAAAAAAAAAGAAACCTCCCAAAGCCTATAAACTGAAACCGAAGAGTTAAGTTTCCCACTTTAGCATGGACAGTGACATCAGCACTGGTTTTGCCCAAAGTGTTTCGAGAGAGACTTTTCAGTGATATTAATAACCACTCAACTCTGGGTTCTGTGCATACCCAGATTTAAGCCCCATCGCCTTACTTCTGGGGTACATCAAGACCTGGCAGGGATTCTGCCACACTGTGCAGCAAACCAGCATCTAGGCTGGAGTGGTAGAGCAAAAGCTAGATCCATCAGAGTGATGGGGCTTCTTCACAGTAAAAACATCAGCGCTCAAAAATGAGAGTCTCTTTCCAGAAACGCCGATTGTTCATCTTGTATTAAATACCATTGTCTGCCTGGCTGCAGTCACCAAAACAAACACAAAATTGCAAAACTCATGCATCTACCTATCATCTCGAGGCTGCCTTTGCCAATGGAAGGGCTAGTGATATATTTTCCCTCTGATGAAAGTTAAATTTCCAGAGACATTCCTAGAGCGTTCAAAAATTTAAAAAAAAAATGCATCCCAGTCTGCCACTCACCATTTTCAGGTCAAGGCAAGTTTTCCTTAATATTGCACCCAAAAGTTTTCTGACACCAGAATGCCATTGCTGATCCCAGCTCTGTTTTTAGGCCACCATGATTAACTTCTTTGGTTTCTCAACTGAGCATGCAACTGTTTATTTAGAGGACTATCATTAATGAGTAGATGTTTTTCTTGGGTCATGTGATATGCTTCCCATTTTAGTAGTATTGCTGTGGCTGAGTACAATCAAATTGAATCACCACCCCTTTGGGTTTTTTTGTAGTAATATAATTATTTATTTTCCTAGTGTAGATGCTTCCAGATTAGAATCGGCATTTGCACTGATTTTTTATGTAGATTTATATAAATATATATGCATATATATTTGCTTGAAGAATCACCAAGCAAATTGGTGAGAGGGTCTTTTCCTATAGAATTTACACCTCCATCTGTTGTGTTGTCTTGCGCTTCCCAATGTTGAGGTCTCTATGGCTCCAATGAATTGACTCTTTTGCAGCAAATCAGAGGACTTGTGTGGACATGGCATGGAAATTAACCAGATTACATCTGGCACAAATGCACTTTGGAGCCTGGGGGCCAGACTGGTGCTAACACTGCAAATTTTGTCCAGAGCTCTCTCCAATCTGAAGGCTTGCTGGGGGCGCAATGTCACCTTCACATGCTGAGCCCTTTCAGAAAAGTGCCAGATCGTGTCACTGGTGCTATTTTTCATGCTCTGGTACAATGTGTAGCACCACGGGGGTCTCAGCTTTACCAAAATCAAAATCCCATTTGTCAGCCAATTGCTAGAGCACTTGTTTTTTTTCTGCTCTCCTCTCATGGGATTTGTTGGCTGTTAATTTGCAGGCTTTTTCTCAAGCCCCAAGTTCTTGGGCTGGCTCTGTCTGCTTAGCAAGCCCATCTTTATTATCTGCCCTCAGATGCCTCTCTGAGCTGTCTTAGATCCTACTGCCAGCCCTTCAGGACTGAGCCAGGAAAATGCCCTCTACACCTCTGGCTCTCATCTTTATCTATTCTTTTCTGCTCTTTTTTTTTAAAAAATTCTATCTTATTGCATCCTCTTGTTGTCCCTCTCCGTTAGCTTCCCCTCCTCTCTTTCAATTGTTGACTTTATTCTCTTTCCCTTTCTCCCTTTGTCCATCTCTTTCTTCTCTCATTGCCCTTTATTCCTTTCTCCCTTCCTTTCCTGTCCTCTTCCTTTCTTCACATCCCTGATCATTTCCACACCCTACTCTTTCATTTTTTTTTCTGTCCTATAAAGGGCTCATGGCTGATTCAGACAGCAAGTCCATACGCTGGACAAATGACACAAACACATGGGGTCACCTTGTTACCTACTCAGCCCAGAAAGCAATGCTGAGTGTGAGGCCCTGACCTGGAGTCAGCTCCAGCTTGCCTCACAGAGCAGAGCCAGCCTGCACCGCTGCCCTGGCCTGGCCTGGCCTCATGGTCAGTGAGGATGCGTGTGCTGTGGGTTCTGTGGCACCTAGGAGCCTCTGCCTGAAAAATGGTCCTCCAAAATCTCACTCCCAACACCACTCAAGGCTCTGAGGACATTACTTTAAATAAAGGCAGACCCTGGCCCCAACAATTATTCTGAGAGCAAACCTCCTTCTCCTCATTGAAGCCATGACATCGCCCTGGTTTGGAGAGAGATTTTTCTCCCCACTCTTGCCCATTTTCCACGTGAAGCGCCCCCATCTCTGCTTTCCAGCTGGTGATTACTCTGGTGAGATCGAATGGACTCGCTGGTGAACGGACATCTCTTATTTCCTGTCTTGGTCCTGCCTAAAATTCCTACCAAAAATATTTCAGCCAAGGACTCAGGCTAGTTCCTAAATTGATCACATGAATTTGTTACTGCTAGGGGGAAAGAAAGGGTCAATTCCCATTAAAGCATGAGGACTACCCCCCCTCACCCCACCCCGTGACAAGGAGACTCCCTACAGAACTCTGTGGGTCTATTTTATGTGCGTGTATGTAGGACACATGCAGAATGCGGACCGGGTATACACATATTCCATTAGATAGAAATTACTATGGTTGGAAACGCTCACACACAACACACACTCGTCTGTAAATATCCTTCCTCACTGAAACCTGTGCTTGAGAAATCATTTCTTGTCCAGCTGTGCAGTTTCTTGTCACAGCTGAGGACAAGCTAAGACAGGCAGAGGATTTCGATAAAAAAAAAAAAAAATCAGCTCAAAGAGAACAGTATCTCCCTAGCAACCCATGATGACAGCCCTTGTGGCAAGGTTGACCCCCAATGGGATGGCAAACTTTTCCTCTCCTTTTCGAATTTGTGTTTCCTAAGTGTGTCTTAATTTCTGAGTGCACCAGGTTGTACCCATTAGATCCTTTTAATATGACAATTTTGTGCTTCTCTCTGACAGGATGTTTCTCCATCGAGCTGTAACGCAGGATGGGAGGGAGGGGGGAATGCTCCTTGCCTGGGCTGGAGTTGACAGAGATACTGCACAGCTTACACTCCTGTTAAGTGTAAATATTCAACACTTCCATTCCATTTGTGTAAAAAGAAAATAAAGCACACACAATTATAAAATCAAGATGTATATTTCATACTCGGTGTGTCTGTGAATATTTATTGTGTTCCTAGTTGTGTTGGGGAAGTGGCCCTATTGTAAAAAAAAAAAAAAAGTCTTGAGAGTGTTTATACACATGTCATGGTTTTATTATAAGATTATAAATATTAAAAACCTTTATACTTTATAGCAAATTATATTCTCCCAAAGCATAATTTGTCTTATTTCATCAAGGAGAGAAACACTCATGTCTATTTTTATCAAATTAGCCTGGTTATAGAGCTAAAATGCAACTCGGGTAGGTTTGCTCTGAGAAATATTGACACTGCACAGAGGAACTGAAAGTGGTACTTTTGCACATTTTAAAACACTTGGTTACCATCTTGCCTGCTTTAAATCAGGATTCTTATCAAGTGAATAGTGTAGTAAAAGATAGACTACTAGCCAGCTGCTGGTGGCTTACACCTGTAATCCCAGCTACTCAGGAGGCTGAGATCCAAGGATCACGATTCGAAGCCATCTCAGGCAAGGAAATCCATGAGACTCTTATTTCCAATAACTTTTCAAAAAGCCAGGCCCAAGTAGCTGGCCCAAATGGTAGAACACTAGCCTTGAGCACAAAAGCTTAGGGACAGTGCCTAGGCCCTGAGTTCAAGCCCCAGGACCAGAAAAAGAAAAAAGATAGACTTCTAAAGACACATACCTGTTTGGAGAAAAATAAAATCCCATTGTCAGAACTGGAAGTTTCCAGAAATGCTAAGAATAGAATCATTTTTCCTGATACTTAGGATGTAAGGAAAGACATAATTTGGAGAGGCATTTTCTATTTACATTGGAGTCACAAAATATACCAGCTCCAAAGATGTGAACAATAATTTCAGAATGCCTATCCTAAATTCCTTATTAAGGTTAAAGATATGCTTGTCATCTTGATATCTGGATAGCACCATTGTAGCAGCTAGAGGGCCAAAACAAATTCCCCCCATAGAAGGGGGGAACATCATCAAAGCAATCACTCTGAACTATGCTTCCTGGTATATTAGCCTATAACTGGATCATCCATTCAGAAAGCCAGACTGTAATTGATTAGACCAGCCTGGCCATCACTGTG